TTAAATAAAAAACAAAAACAAAAACCAGTCCTGGGGCTTGAACTCAGGGCCTAGGCACTGCCCCTGAGCTTCTTTTGCTTAAGGCTAGCATTCTACCACTTGAGCCACAGTGCCACTTCCAGCTCTTTCTGTGTATGTGGTATGGAAGAGTTGAACCCAGTGCATACTAGGCAAGCACTCTACCACTAAGCCACATTCACAGTCCTATGTGGAGCTTTTTGGTGGTTAATTGGAGATAAAAGTCTCATGAAAGTTCATGAGTCACTGGCAACAGGCCATTTTAATTAATATTATACTTGAATATTCCTGAATGACTTCACAAGTTGGCCAAAATATTACATTCTACATTCCCATGCACCTCTTTTAACACTATAAAAATACAAAAATGTAAAGATTTTTAAGGGTGAACATCTTAGTCCATTAACTGAAATATTTATATATGTTTATTTAAATTTATAGATTTTGAGGATGGAGAATACGAGGTCAGCCTGGGCTACGTGGAGACCCTGTCTTAGAAAACAGATTAAAGCAAAAGAAGCAAACCTTTAGAAACTTTATTTCTCTCGTGGCAATCTTGTTGACAGATTTTTCTGGTTTCTCATAGAATATCTTAATGGCCACTATCTGCCCCGTATCTTTGTGTTTACATTTCATGACTGTTCCGTAACTTCCCTCTCCCACTTTTCCAAGGGTTTCATACATCTCCATTTTCAAGCCTTGCTTCTACTTCAGAAAAATAAAAAATAAAAAAAAATTTTTTAAAATTAAAAAAAAAAAAAAAAAGGAAAACGTTAAACCTTGACACTTTTATTGATTGAAGCTGGACAGGGTATAGACTCATCTCCTACTTTTAAATCTAAACATAGAAAACAGGAAATTTTGTCCATGGAGTAAGGTATAGACTCAATAAATTCTTACTTTGAAATACAGGAACATGGGGGGGGGGGGGAATAATGTTCTTGTCCACAGAACCCGGGGGTCGGTGGGAGCTCTGCCACCTCGGCGCTAGGGTGCATGTGGAGGCCCCAGTCCTCACCATTAACACGGGGTCCTTCTCCGTCACTTCACCGGGCCCCCCCCTCCACCCCCCTCACTAGCGATCAGCACCACCGAGCACCCCACATTTCCTGTCAGGTCGGGTCCAGTCAGGGCTCCCCACCACAGCAGCCGCCCAAGACACAGGCCCCGAGAGCTCCCGAGGCCTGGTCCCGCCCTCTCCTCAAACCCCACGTCTAAGAAGCCCGGACCCGACCCGTGGCGCTCCCCTCGCCCCACAGTCGACTTCCGTCCAGGCAGGCGCCGCCGCCTCAACCCATTCCGTAGCCCCGCTGGCCTGGCTCGGCGAAGTCCCAAGCGGGACACCGGACACCGACACTACTACACGGGCCAACTCCGCGGGCTCCCCGGCTGCCGGCTCCCATAGCAACGGTTGTGGGGGGGGGGGGGGGGGAGGTGAAGGCTGCGCAAGGCGCCAGTACGCAAGACCGGAAGAACGGCGGGTCCTGACCCGGAAGTGAAAGGAGAAGGAAGTAGAAAGTGGCTCCAGGTAGGCGCTCCGTGGAAACGTGCTCAGGGTGGGGTGGGGGAGGGGGTTGGCTGTCGCAGTTTGAGCGTCCTGAAAGGTTGGTTTTGGAACCCCCCCCTCCCCCCACCACCACCACGGGATGCCTGCATTGCTTGGGGAGAAAGGGAACCGAGGTAGAAGCATGCCCGACCCCTGTGGCAGAAGGCACGGCGACACCTTGTGCTCCCCTCGTCATCAAACAAGACAAGTTGAAAGACTAGACTTGAAGACAAGCCTTGGTGTTGGGCTGGGATGTAGCTTAATAGCCAAAAGGCTTGTCTCCCAAGTGCAAGGTCCTGGGTTCGATCCCCAGTACCCAAAAGGAAAAGACAAAAGATACAGAATCAATTCTTGTGCCTACAGTTTCCCGGGTAGTCCTCAATTCAACCCCAACAGGCACAAACCCTACTTGAACATCCACAGTTTGCCTTTTTAGATATTTCCAGCTCCCAAACTCTATGGGCTCTAGAAAATAATTCAGAAGGTCTTACAACATATGTAGTGATTTCTAAGGGCGCAAGATGTGTGTGTGGGGGGGGGGGGGGAGTTGTTGAAGGTGATGAGAATTAGCTGTAGTGTCAGCCTCCAGTGAAATAACGATATCACTAGAGCTAGTGCTCCAGGAGTGCTGTCTCTATTTAGAGATTTTACCTTTTTTCTATAAAGTGTTAAATGTAAAATGCGAAATCTTGGCAAGTCTTGTTCAAACTATGAAGAAGAATGATATATATATTTTTTAATCCAATGAGTCTCATCCCAGTACAGATATTAAAGTTACACCTGGAAGGCTTTAAAACTGCCCTGCTCAACTGGGCACTGGTAGCTCACAACTGTAATCCTGAGATGTCAGGATCAAGATCTGAAGCCAACCTTGGCTGGAAAGTCAATGACTCTTATCTCCAAGTTAGCCACTAAAAAAAAGCCTGGAGCTGTGGCTTAAGCGCTATGCTTAAGCACTACAGCTTTGGGACGGGGCCCAGGCCCTGACTAACAAAAATAAAACAAAACAAAATGATAATGAGAGGGAACCTGAGAACAAGTAACTTGTCTTTTTGTTGCTGTTGTGTATCTGCAAGTAATGCCAGCATAAATAATGTGCACTGGGACTGGCTGTAAGTTTAATATATTCTTAGTATTTTAAATATTTGAAAGGGGGGAAAAGCATAAACCAGACTGAGTCCCTACTCTGACTGAACTCAGCATAGAGTACTAAATTGCTACAACATAAAATTATAGGTTTAAGACTGCTCTTTCCACAAATAGGTTTATATAGTAAGCTTCAAGGCCAGGGCATTGCTATACTTAATACAGCTGTGGAGTCACCTCTCATTGAGTTTGTCAAAAGTGTTTTATCCATGCTAGGTATCAGGGTTGCAATCCTAGCTACTTGGAAGCTGAGATCAGAGGATGCTGTCAAATCCTGGAGGACAGTGCCTTGGCCCTGAGTTCAAGCCCCAGGACAGGCACAGAAAAAAAAAGTGTTCATTTATTTTGGAAAATAAAACGGAACATTTCTAAAAGTTATAAATTGTTAAACATTATAGAAATATAGATATCTAGGTCTATGTATATGTGTCTATAGCTATATATCTTAAAGTCTTCCTCTTCAGCTATAGGATGGATAAGGATTGTTATGACTGGTAGGCAAAAATTAAAGGTAAGGGGCTGTACATGGTGGCACATGACTACTCCTGGCCCTCAGCCTGAGCAAGTTAGCCAGACTGTCTAAAACTAAATTTTACAAAAAGGCTGAGGAGGGTTGGGAAGGTGGCTCAGTGGTAGAGTGTTTGTCTTGCATACATGAGGCCCTGGGTTTGATTCCTCAGCACCACATAAGCAGAAAAAGCCAGAAGTGGCACTGTGGCTCAAGGGGTAGAGCACTAGCCCTGAGCTGAAGAGCTGAGGGACAGTGCCCAGGCCCGAGTTCAGGCCCCATGACTGGCAAAAAGAAAACAAAAAAAAGGTTGAGGAATGTAACTCAGCAGTAGTGTGTGCCTCACATGTCTGAGTTGCTAAGTTCAATCTCTATTACCTCATAAAAAGTAAAAAGAAAATAATAAAGATAGGAATTATTAGCTTTGATTTAGAGAATCACACAGTGAATATGCAATCATCCTGGGGGCAAGAGTTGGGCAATGTTAAGGTCCTCCTTCCATTTTCCCTTCTAGGGCTGAAGAATTCCCTGTATGTCCTATGAAAGAAAGTGCTGCAGCCAGGCATTGGTGGATCATGGTTAGATCTGGGGATCGTGGTTCAAAGCCAAGTTAGGCAGGAAAGTCCAACTGTCCACCACAAAGTCAGAAGTGGAGCTGTATCTCAAGTGGTAGCGTGCTAGTATTGAGCAAAAAAGCTTAAGGACAACAGCCAGGCCTTGAGTGCAAGCCCCAGAACTGGTACAAAAAAAAAGCTCCAGCCTACCCTCCCTCCTGCCAACAGAACTTATAGGAAAGTTTCAAAGTCAACACTTATGAAAACCCTAGTGGAAACACTTCAGGTCCACTTGCACTTTGCTGGTATAAAAAGCCTGAAGTAAGCTACCTGTCTAGATACATAACTCCACCCACGTCTGGGCTCTCTCACCCCCCACATCTGAATCACTTTTGTGTTTTGATAACTTCCCATCGATTATGCACTGAGATCACACCCTCGCCTTTCTTGACACTAGGTACTTTATTTACCCTAGATAGGTTCACAGATTCACCTTTAGCCTGGAACAAAATAAGACCCTACACTGTTCAAAATGTACTTATTACCTGATTTATATTACTGTAACCCCTCCGTACATCACCTTTTCAATAAGTTTTTTTTTTTTTACAAAGGGGGGAAGGCCCTAAAGGAAAACAAAAAAGAACCTCTAGTTCTTTGGGCTATTTGTCATCTCTGCCCGATCCTGGAAACTCCACTCAAATGGGAGGCACAGACTCTATTGTGATAGGATTTTAACTTCGGGCCTGGGCAGTCAGTGCTACTTTCATTCCCCTCTCCCCTCCCGATCCTCCCCACCAGGTACCAAAAACGGATAAACCACCGGGACATATATTAAGTCCAATTTTTTTTTTTTTTATTGTTTTGGTTCCCTCTTATACAAAAGAGGAAAAAACCAAATGGTTTGCTTCCACCACGACTCCTTCGGGGCCAGCGTCCCCCCCCCTGCACCCGGGACAAACCAGGAGGACAACTTCACAAAGGCGGGGCTCCCAACCCGGGCCCGGTAAACTCTGAGATCCGGGCGACGCTCTCACGTGACGCGTTCTACGCGCGTCACAGGGACACGTGGTTCTGGACATTTCGTTCCCCTCCCTCCCCACCCCCACCCCCCCCCCCAGAGGAGGGGAGGGTGGATTGTTGACAAGGCCGCGAGCGGTCACGTGACCCCGCGTCATTTTTCTCTCCCCCACCCCCCCCACCCCCTTTCCCTGAAATCTCGGGTCCGGATGCGTCCTTTCTTCCTCTCTCCCCATCCCGCCGAACCTAAGACAGTTGACGGGGTGGGGAGAGACCAAGGAAGCGTCCCGGTTTTGGCGTCTCCCGGCTCCCAGCCTCTAAGAACCGGTCACCAGGGCACACGAACCTCCGCCGTTTAACTCCAGCAGCCCAAACATGGAAGCCACCCCCGCCTAAGAAGTACCCGGAGCGGGCGGGCGTCCAGACGCCCCGCCTACCTCCCACCTCCCTGGCTCGGTGGTAGCGGCGGAGGGCGGAGGGATCTGGAGGCGGCGGAGGGAGACGTCATTGCAGGGTTGTTTGTGCAGTCTCGGCGGCGGCGGCGGCGGCGGTGACCCACAGTGATTCGGCCGCGGCGCCGGGGGGTGGGGGGGGCTGCGCGGGACTCTTTTTCTTTCAGACTGACCGCGGGGGAGCTGGGGAAGCATGTCGACCCCGGCTCGGAGAAGGCTCATGCGAGATTTCAAGCGGTAAGGGCCTTCACCTTTCGTCAAGATGACGGCTTTCTCCCCCCCCCCCCCCTGCGCGGGGCTGCAAGCCGGGCGGGCGGGCGGGCGGGGGGTTCCGGACACCTTCCCTTCAGGACCCCCTCAAGCGGAGGAGGGCGGCTGGCGGGAGGCGATGGGCCTTTGGGGTCTGGGGACGGGGTGAGGGGGGGTCGACGGAAGCCCGGCTCACTCTGGCAGCGGGCAGCTCTCGGCGCTGTTCCTTCTCTTAAGTAAAAAAAGGTGGCGTTCGGCTGCCTTTCGGGGTGCCCGCGGGCCCTTGAGGGCCGGATGCTCGACGTCTCGCCTCAGCACTCAAACCTCACCTCCCCCCCTCCCACACCCCCCTGTACTCCGCGGCCACCCCCCTCCTTGATCCCCTAAAATGGAGCTCTTTGGATGGGTTTAGGCCTCGCCTGCAGCACCGATCAGCTTTGTTAAAAAGCCCCGCGGAGCTCCTCGGTGGAACCAGATTGAGGCGAGGTCCCCCCCCCTCCCCTTCCACCCCCATTCCTGCCCTTTCTGCAGCGAGGGTGGGGTCCACCGCCGAGGTCCGAAGGTGGTTAACCCATCCCCACGAAACCCGACTCTGCCCCCGTCTGCCGGGAGGACCTTGAGAACTGGCTCAGAGACCTGGGCCTCGGGTTTGGCCTTCCCGGTTGCCAGTGCCTTCTGGAACAGCGTTGGCTAGTGAATAAAGGCCTATCTATAGCCTTTCCAGTCTGGGGGGGGGGGGGGGGGAGCGTTCCTCCGACTAGAGCTAATCCGATACTCTCGAGGGCCTCCTTTTGTAAAAACAGGGTTTTGTTAGGAGGTGTGGGACTTGGAGGAAGTGACCCCCCCCCACCCCCCAGTTGTTTATCTTTCATCCAATACTAAAGGTAGGGAAACAGAGTGACCAGTTGAGCATTACGATTTTCTGTGTACCTGGTCTGATTGACGCGAATAGTTAATATATGAAACTTAACCATTTCCCAAAATACTCAGGAAGTAATTAACCTCACGCCAGTACAAAGCCCTATTAGCAGAGGCATTTAATTTATCATTTAGGTAGTTTTTAGCCTCTTAAAGATGGGTATTGAACCGTAAGTACTGGAGGCCTTATTTGCTTGAGGTTAACCAAACGGCACAGTTTTCATGTGGACTAATTGCAAAGTATTATGACACATGAAAATGACCACATATGTATTTTTTTATACTGTAGAAATGGTTATTTTTGTTGAGGTGATATTATTTAAAAGATACTCTTAGTGCAAAGGTCTTTTAGTCTTGAATTTGCTCCCATTACTGAAATTCAAATAAAACTTCATTTTCTGTCCATCACTTCCTCTTGTTGGTTATTGGAGTTCTCTGCTTAATTCTAGTTGAACACATGGCACCTTTGGTAGTTTTCCAAGGGTCTTCATGTTACGAGAATTTGATGATCACAACTGTTGAAGGTTTTGTATTGACTCTCCTGTAGAGTTGATTTTAGTGCAGATACTGCTGAAAAACTTGATTACAAAGCCATTTCTGTCAGAAGCAAGAGGATCTTTGCTACATCTTGCTTCCTGATTAAATTGAAGTAGTTCTTACTGATTTAGTGTGTACACTGAGATTTGCTTGCTTTTCTTTTTTTAAATTTTAGTAGCAATGTACAAGTCGCTATAGCAATAGTTAAAATTCATTGTTCTTAAGTCTTTAGAGGAGGAAAGTTGGTATTTTTGTAAAACTATTTTTTGCCACTGTAGTTTGAAATTTTTATGGCACTATACTTAGTTCTTGAAAAGGTTTGTCTTAATTTTGATATTTGAAGAGATGATTCTTAACCATTTGGATTCACAGATAATTAGCTGTATATAGTAATGTACCCCTGGTTGATCTATTTAAATCAAAATATGGCTCATTCCAGTGCAACACAACAACAAGGAAGTTGATTTAGTTACTCTCAAGTAGGTGGCCCCTTCATTGCCCTAATGTTCAACTTTGAAAATTATTACTCTGGATTTCTAGATTGCAAGAGGACCCACCCGTGGGGGTCAGTGGTGCACCATCTGAAAACAACATCATGCAGTGGAATGCAGTTATATTTGGGTGAGTGAAAAGATTTGCTAAATAATAGGTATGGTGATTCTTTTTTTTTTTTTGGTCGGTCGTGGGGCTTGAACTCTGGGCCTGGGCGCTGTCCCTCAGCTCTTCAGCTCAAGGCAAACACTCTACCACTTGAGCTACAGCGCCACTTCCGGTTTTCTGGTGGTTTATTGGAGATAGGAGTCTCACGGTCTCTCCTGCCCGGGCTGGCTTTGAACTGCGATCCTCAGATCTCAGCCTCCTGAGTAGCTAGGATTACAGGCGTGAGCCACCAGCCCGGCTAGGTATGGTGATTTTTAAGAAAAGTATGTATAACAGGTGTCTAGGGAAAGAGACTAAGATAAAATCTGGTTTTGGAAAGATTTGGGGGGGGGGGGGGAGAAGTGTTAGGGATTTTAGGCAGGAACACTGAGCAAGTACTCTTGCCACTGAGCAGTGTGTTCCTAGCCCCAGAAAACACATAAAGGTTTGGCATTTGTATAAGATTTCTTTGCTTCTTGCTGTTAACAACAAATGGTTTTGTTTTGAGACAAGGTGGTATTTGCTATTTTGCCTATGCTAGCCTTGAACAATTTGGGCTCAAATGCTCCTGCCTTAATAGGGTATGTAGCTGGACGTGCAGCTGCTATAGATGAACCACAATATTGGGCCCAGCTACATGACGTTTTTGTACTAAGTAAAGTTGTTCTATTTAAAAAAACAAAACACTTGTTGGTGCCAGGCACTGGTGGCTCATGCTTGTAATCCTAGCTACTTGGGAGGCTGAGATCGGAGACTGGTTCACAGCCAGTCTGAAAAGTCCCTGAAATTTATTTCCAATTAACCAGCAAAAAGACAAACGTAGAGATGTGGCTCAGGTCTTAGAGGGCTAGCTTTAAATGGAAAAAGCTAAATGAGAGGTTCTCTTGAGTTCATGTTCCAACACCCATGCGAAAAAAACAAAAATTGGAGGTATAACTTGGTGATGATGTTTGTTTAGCATATGTAGGGTATTGGGTTTGATCCCCAACATGCGCATACCTATTTGAAACTAAATTGTTCTGGGTTTAGTGATTCACACCTATAATACCAGTTATTTCAGGAGAATTGAGGTTTGAGGCCAGCCTGCTGAAAAAGTTATTGAGACTCCCGTTTCAGCAAACAAGACAGCCTAGTACCATAACTCTTCCTGTTTTCATAGTGTAAGAGGATCTGGTCTGAAAAATAACCTAAAGCAAAAAGGGATGTGGGTGTGGCTAAAGTAATAGAGTACCTGCCTAGTGAGCATAACACTGAGTTCAAACTCTAGTACCACCAAAAAAACAAGAAAAAAGGATGAGAAAACTAAATGGAACCAGGTGCAAATGGCTTATGCCTGTCATCCTGGCTACTAGGGAGGCTGAGATCTGAGGATCATGGTTCAAAGCCAGCCTGGGCAGGAAAGTCTGTGAGACAGTGCCCAGGCCCTGAGTTCAAGTCCCCCGACCGACAGAACAACAACAAAATCCTAAATGGAATGAAATAATAAAGGAGAAAAGATAAATTATGTGTATGTAGAGCAAATGTTTATGCATGTTCTGTGGGCACCTTGAAAAGGGGTGGAATAAAACACTGAGAATTCTCACTAGCAAGAATTTTAGCTGAAAATGTTGTATAGCCCAAATACTGGCATGTCTTTCCATACCTGGCAGATATATGCTTTCTTATGCCTTTAGCTTTCTTGGGTTTGATCTGTTCTGTTTTGTTTTGTTTTGTTTTGTTTCTTTTTGCTTATGTGGTGCTGGGGAATCGAACCCAGGGCCTCATGCATGTAAGGCAAGCGCTCTACCACTGAGTCACCTTCCCAGCCCTTGTTTTGGTTTTTAATTCTTTTAATACTAGAGTTTTGTGGTGAGATACGTAGAACCAATACTTTAAAAATAATTTGAGGGGCTGGGAAGGTGGCTCGGTGGTAGAGTGCTTGCCTCACATGCATGAGGCTCTGGATTCGATTCCTCAGCACCACATAAACGGAAAAAGCTGGAAGTGATGCTGTGGCTCAAGTGGTAGAGCGCTTGCGTTGAGCTAAAGAGCTGAAGGACAGCACCCAGGCCCAGAGTTCAAGCCCCACGGCCAACCAAAAAAAAAAAATAATTGAACTTCTACAAAGTAACTTATAAGAGTACATTCTGAAAAATAAAACAAGTGGTTTGTCCATGTAGGGTAAAGAAATTCTATTACATTTAGGCTATTAACTTGCTTCTTGAGACACGTCTGATTATGTAGCTCAGGTTGGCCTGGAACTCTTAATCTTCCTGTGTCCGTTTCCCAAATGTTGGAGTTACAGGTGAGCACCATCACCTGCGCCTGGCTTCTTTGAGATCTTTTTTTTTTGAGTCCGGTTGTGGGGACTGAACTCTGGGCCTGGGCGCTGTCCCTCAGCTCTTCAGCTCAAGGGTAGTGCTCTACCACTTGAGCCACAGCGCCACTTCCGGCTTTTTTTTTCTTTTTTCTTTTGTGGTGCTGGGGAATCGAACCCAGGGCCTCATGCATGCAAGGCAAGCACTCTACCACTGAGCCACCTTCCCAGCCCCCCCCCTTTTATTTATTTATTTTTTTTCAGTTGGTTGTGGGGTTTGAGCTCTGGACCTGGGCACTGTCCCTCAGCTTTTCAGCTCAAGGCTAACGCTGTACCGCTTGAGCCACTTCTGGTTTTCTAGTGGACTTTCCTGCCTGGTCTGACTGGTCTGGCTTTGAACCGTGATCCTCAGATCTCAGTCTGCTGAGTAGCTGGAATTACAGGCGTGAGCCAGCAGCTCCCAGCTTTCTTTGAGATCTTGAATATACTTTGCCAGCAATAAATTATATGCTGCTACTTAAGAAAATTAAACTGGAATTTGGAAGCAAAGGTCTGAACCTAATATTGGCTTTCTTGGTGAGACAGCTATGCTTAGCTGAAAGAAATCTATTACTCTGTTGGAAAGCAGGACTTTTGAATTTGGTGTCATAATTACCTTAAACTGACTGGTATTAATTTCCTTTACATTACTGTAAATGAAAGAATGCTTTTTTAATACATATTAATGACTGAGCTTGGTGGCAACTGCCTGAAAATCTAGCACATAAGAGACTGAGGCAGAATGATCACTTCATTGTGGGCAAATAATAAGGCCTTGTCTTTAAAAAAAGAAAATTACAAAATTTTCAGTCTTGTGAGCAGAATTCTTGTTATGTTTAAAATCATGGGGGGGAGGGTGGGAATCTGGCTTAGTGGTAGAGTGCTTGCTTAGCATGCACAAAGCCCTGGTTTCTATTCCTTAGTACCATGTAAACAGAAAAACCTGGAATTGGTGCTGTGGCTTAAGTGGTAGAGCACTACCCTTGAGCACAGAGAGACTCAGACAGTGCACAGGGCCTGTTTTCAAGCCCCAGGACCCGTCCCCCCCCAAAAAAAAATCATGGGCAGATTTGTTTATTTAAGTAAAATCACCCTAAAAGAAAAAAGAGTTCTTCTTTATGCTTCTACCTATTAAATGCCAAGGCTAAAATGATGTTCAGCTACTTCCTCAAAGCTTTGTACATCATTGCATGGTCCCCTTTTAGTGTTGGAGTTTATCCTGTCTGTTGAAGAAAAGGGAAAAGCACAATAAAAAATGTTAATTAGAATTCTTCTTGTTTTTAGGCCAGAAGGGACACCCTTTGAGGATGGTAAGTTATTCTTAATTATTTTCTATATAGCATAAAAAAGATGTTTTTAAATTAGAAATTATAACACCGGGGTATCTACTTTTCAGCCATATTCTACTGTTAATAAGTTCAGCTAAAACTCAAGACTTGCTGGGGCTGGGTACTGGTGGTGCACACCTGTAATCCTAGCTATTTAGAAGGCTGAGATCTGAGGATCATGGTTTGAAGCCAACCTGGGCAGGAAAATCCATGAGACAATGCTTAGACCTAGAGTTCTATCCCCAACATTGAAACCAAAAAAACCCTCAAAACACTATATACATCAGCTTGGTTGCTTGCATTGCTAGTTCTGTTACTTTTTATATCATTTTTGGATAGCTTGTAGGCCTAGATGACAGGGTTTGAGGTTTGACAATGGTTTGTATTTCGGTGGCCTTATAGCAGCATGTGATGTTGAGGGTAGGTATCGGTATAATCCTGCTTGTTTACTTTATCTGTATTCATTAGCTATTGTGTTAACATGCTTCTTTTTGTGTGTAGTGCTGGAGATCAAACCCAGAGCTTTGTGCATTGGTAGGAAAGTACTTTACCACAGAGTTAGACCTATCTTAGACGTTTTTCTTAAATGTATACAGCTGCCAGAAGCATTCTGCATAATTTTTTGTATCCTGGGTATATTCACCAGGAGCCAGAAAAATGGGAAACTAGTTTTTGTGTTTGTTTTTTTTTTGCTGGTGCTGTACACTGTCCTTGCATTCTTTTTTTGCTCAAGGCTAACACTCCTATACTGTTAGAGTCACAGTGCCGCTTTGAGCTTTTTCTGTTACTTATTGGAGATAAGAGTCTTATGGACTGGGCTGGGAACGTGGCTCAGGGGTAGAGTGCTTGCCTTGCATGCATGAGGCCCTGGGTTCGATTCCTCAGCACCACATACACAGAAAAAGCTGGAAGTAGGTGCTATGGCTCAAGTGGTAGAGTGCTAACCTTGAGCTGAAGAGCTCAGGACAGTGCCCAGGCTCAGAGTTCAAGCTCCACGACCAGCAAAAAAAAAAAGAGTCCCATGGACTTTCCTGCCCAGGTTGGCTTTGAACCACGATCCTCAGATCTCAGCCTCCAGCCTCAGAACGAAGGATTTCAGGCATGAGTCACTAGCACCTGGCTAGAAACTAGTTTTATTTATTGTCCGGTCGTGGGGCCAGAACTCTGGGCCTGGGTGCTGTCCCTCAGCTCTTTAGCTCAAGGCTAGTCCTCTACTACTTGAGCAACAGCGCCACTTCCAGCTTTTTTCTTTTTGCTTATGTGGTGCTGAGGAATCGAACCCAGGGCTTCATGCATGCAAGGCAAGCGCTCTACCACTGAGCCACCTTCCCAGCCCTAGAAACTAGTTTTAATATGTGTTTAAAATTGAAGTTATCAGAATTATTTTAACAAGCTACTTAGGTTTTTTTTCCCCTATTATAGCAATAGTTTTTGTTTTGCTAGCCCTGTGTCTTGAACTCTGGGCCTTTGTGCTGTCCCTGAGCTTTTTGCTCAAGGCTAGTGCTCTACCACTTGAGCCACAGCTTCACTTCTCACTTTTTCTGTGATTACTTGGAGGTAAGAGTGATGGACTTTTCTGCCTAGGCTGGCTTCAAACCATAATGCTCAGATCTCAGTCTCCTGAGTAGCTAGGATTACAGGGAAGAGCTTCCTCTCCCAGCCTAACTGACCTTTTGTTGTAATTTTCCTTAATACTACTCTGTGTGATGAAATGGGAAGTCTGAGTAATACACTTTTTTTTTTTTTCCTTTTTTTTTGTGCTCAAGGCCAGGATACTATCCCTGAGCTTTTTTCACTCCAGGCTTTTCTACTTTACCAATTCTTGCTTTTTATGGTAGTTTATTGGAGATAAGAGTCTCAGACTTACCTGCCTAGGCTGTCTTTGAACACAGGTCCTCAGATCTCAGCCTCTTGAGTAGCTAGGATTAAAAGCCTGGGTCACTAGTGCCAGACTTTAAGCACTTTTTTCTGCATGCCACAGAGTGATGGTTACTGGGAAGAGAAAGTCTTTTTGTCATGGAACAGTTTTTATTGAAAGAATAATTGACAGAACTGGAATGCAGCTTAGCAGCAGAGCACAAGCTTGCTTGGCCTTGGTATTCAGGAGGACATGGGTACAATCAGCATAGGGTTGGGAAGTCGGGGGACCAAAAAAAAAAAGGATACAGAGTACCACAGATTGCAATGAAACTAAGTACAAAAAATTGTTGATAAGTCAGGCACTGGTGACTCACCCCTGTAATCCTAGCTACTCAGGAGGCTGAGATCTGAGGATCACGGTTCAAAGCCAGCAGTGGCAGGAAAGTCTGTGAGACTCCAATAAACCACTCAGAAAACTGGAAGTGGTGCCTTGTCTCAAGTGGTAGAGTGCTTGCCTTGAGCTGAAGAGCTGAGGGACAGCGCCCAGGCCGTGTTCAAGCCCCATGACTTGACAAAAATAAAAATGGTTTTTAACTTCTGATTCTACATTGCAACAAATATTTAAGAAATGACCATTTCTTTTCTGCAGTAACAACAAAAAAGAATACAATTACCTGCTAAAAAGGCTGTGGAAATGTCCTTTTTTCAATTACACATTTGTGCTAAACCAGATTTTCTTCATGTACTGTACTTGAACCAAAACAACATATTGTAACAGATTGAGCGCAGAAACAGATAAGAGGAGCCAGCTGTCTTCTGTTAAAGCCAGTCAATTAAAAAAAAAGTGTGTGTACGTGTGTACATGTGGGCATGCTGGTCCTGGAGCTTGAACTCAAGGTCTGGGCGTTGTCCCTGGGCTTTTACACATGAGACTACTAGCACTCTACCACTTGAGCCATAGCTCCATTTCCAGCTTTTTGGTGGTTAACTGGAGTTGAGTGTCTCATGGACTTTACTTCCCCAGGTAGCTTCAAATCATGATCCTCAGATCTCACTTAGTCTTCTGAGTCAATGGGATTACAGGCATGAGCTAAATAGTGCCTGGCTAATTTTTCCCCCCAATACTGAAGAATGAACCCAGGGTATTATGATTCCTAGGCTAGTGCTATACTAATGAGCTAATGTTCCAAGCTAATGTCTTTTGAAGTTGCTCATTTGAAGTTGCTCAATGTAGCCTGGATCTTGAGATTGTTTTTTTATTGGTGGTACTGGGATTTAAACTGAGTACCTTGGGCTTGTTTGGCAATTACTGTACACTTGAGCCATACTCCCAGCATTTTTTTTTTTGGGGGGGGGGGGGGTCCGGTCGTGGGGCCTGAACTTGGTCTGCGTGCTGTCCCTCAGCTCTTCAGCTCAAGGCTAGCGCTCTATCACAGCACCACTTCCAGCTTTTTTCTTTTTTGCTTATGTGATGCTGAGGAATGGAACCCAGGGCCTCATGCATGCAAGGCAAGCGCTCTACCACTGAGCCACCTTCCCAGCCCATTCCCAGCATTTTTACTTGAGAAGTTTTGTGGTGTTCTGGTGTTTGGTTGGTTGGTTGGTTTTGTGCCTGTCATGAGGCTTCAACTCAGGGTCTGGGCACTATCCCTTTTTTGCTCAAGGCTAGTTCTCTGCTGTTTGAGCCAGAGCTCTACGTCTGGCTTTTTGGTGGTTAATTAGAGATGAGTCTCATTGGGGGCTGGGAAGGTGGCTCAGTGGTAGAGCGCTTGCCTTGCATGCCTGAGGCCCTGGATTTGATTCCTCAGCACCACATAAGCAAAAAGAAAAAAGCCGGAAGTGGCGCTGTGACTCAAGTGGTAGAGCGCTAGCCTTGAGCTGAAGAGCTGAGGGACAGCACCCAGGCCCAGAGTTCAGGCCCCACGACCGGACCCAAAAAAAAAAAGAGTCTCATTGATTTTACAGCCTCATCTGGCTTTAAACCTTATCCTCAGATCTCAGCCTTCTTAGTAGCTAGGATTACAGATGTGAATACCCAGTCTTTTCTATTTGAGTTTTACTTTTCAGCTCTCAAAATTTTACCATAATCTTCCTAGCTCCACCTACTATGTACTTCAGTTTATAACTATGTGTCACTATGCCCAGCAAGCATCTATTTTTTTGTGGGGGGAAGGAGGGATGTTTTGGTACTGAAGCTTGAACTCAGATCCTCCCTCCCACCTTTTACTTGGCTTTTTTCCCCTCAAGGCTGGTGTTCTACCACTTGAGGCAGCTTTTTGCTAGTTAATTGGAGATGAGTCTCACAGACTTACCTGCCCCAGCTGGCTTTGAACATTAATCTCAAATCTTAGCCTCCTGAGTAGCTAGGATTATAAGCATGAGCTACCAGTGCTCAGCAAGCTTCTATTTGAAAGATTGAGATTGGTGCATCTTTTCCTTACTATGAACATAATCTACTTTTCAGCCATTTATTCAATTGTGCATTATGGGCCTCAGTTTCCTAAGTAACTGGGATTACAGGAATGTACTTGGACATCCTGCTGAATTAAGATTTTCAAATATCAACAAATAGAACTAGTGGTTTGCTGGAGACACTGACTGATTCTAACTATTTGACATTATTATGGTGCTGCCTTCCCACGTCTGATGGTGAGGTGCCATAAAGTGGTATGCTGTTAGAGATACTGTTTCTAGTTTCATGTCCCATGAATTCATGATGGACTAAGTATAAAGTGACTACAAAGCCTAAGGATGGGTGTTTTATATTTGTGTTCATCTGAAGTGTTATAAAGCCGTTACTTTCCTTTCTTCCACATAAGGAATAGGGATACAGCTCAGTGGAAGAGTTTGTGCTTAGCATGCACGGGATCCTTGATTTGGTCCCCAGCACAGCGAGGGAAATTAAGCATAAGGAAAACTTCATTAATTGTGTTTTGAGTCCACACACACATATGAGCAAATGTGAAATGGGAGTCACCTATGGTTTGCTTGTATCTTTGGTCATCCTAATGTCATATTTCCAAACAACAGCAAAAATATATAAATCAGTGGAAGTTGGTTGTGTTCGACCTATATGACTGGTGGAGATATAAAAATTCTCTTTGAAGTATGAGAGAGACTAATCTTGATAGATTGAAGCTAGGACTTTAGAACTTAGACCAACAGAAACCTTGTTTTCACTTGTATTGATGAAATAAGGCAAGAACCTTGTGGAAATCTGGATTGGTTTTAGTTTTATTAGAAGCTAACCAAACGAAATTGGTTTACTTCATTAGAAGTAAGTTATAATTTTACAATCCAAGGGATTGTAGTTGAAGAACCTCTCCACCCTTTAAGTGGATTTCCTCTAAATGAAAAGGTTCTAGATAGTTATGTCAGCCCAAACACAAAGCCATTAATAATGGCTAATGCTTACTTCTTAGAAGTAGAATTGAAACTACAATTGGACATCCTTAATTTCTTTGTACTCTTTTTTTTTTTGGTCAGTCATGGGGCTTGAATTCTGGGCTCTTTCAGCTTAAGGCGAGCATTCTACCACTTGAGCCACAGCACCACTTCATGTTATTATCTTAGAGATAAGTCTCATGGACTTTCCTGCCCAGGCTGGCTTTGAACCATGATCCTCAGATCTCAGCCTCCTGAGTAGCTAGAATTCCAGGCGAGAGCCACCGGTACCCGGCTTTCTTTCTACTCTTTACAGGTTGCCTTTGTTAGAAATTCATGATTTTTTGAAATTCTTCTGTCTGTTGATGTTAAATACTGACCAGAATATGTGCTGTGTTGGCCTGTAACCAATAGTAGGAAATTACAGAAAAGCCTATTGATTGTTGGCATATTCAAATGAAGAGTTTGGTGTGGGACAGAACTTCCACATCAGCACCCATGTCTAATTGGGTTCCTTGCCATGTGGTAGTCTGCCCCTCGCAAAAATCCTTTGGCAGCCACTTTGCAAGCTATAATAAACTGTTGGATGTTCTCTGAGCGTGTAGCTTAAAATCTTGGTAGCTAGGGCTCAGTTGCCATACAGTCTGACAGTAACACTCACACTAGAAAGGCTGTTCCGCCTGTGCTTGCCAATGCTGTGTGATACCAGCCTTAACATAAATAGAAGTATAATATGTTTTATGTGCTAAAGCGCAGTTCACTCCTTAATTTTTGTGTGCTTGTGCAAAAGCCAACATGAGGTTGAGAATCAATTGAAGAAATTTAGTTGATGGCTTCACCATATAATTATTACTATTTTTTTCCCCCTTTAGGTACTTTCAAACTAGTAATAGAATTTTCTGAAGAATATCCAAATAAACCACCAACTGTTAGGTTTTTATCCAAAATGTTTCATCCAAATGGTAAGTAGCAATTTATATAAGACTTTTAAGATGATAGTGGGGCGGGGGTGAGGAGGGCAGAGGTCTCCTTCCTTTAGGTCTAGTTGGTCATTTCTCAGTCAGGACCAGCCATGTCCATGCCATCCGTATTTTTGTAGCTGAAATATTAACAAGCTTCCAAACTTGATATAAAGTTTTGTTGTAATATCTTCTGAACATAGTGTGTATTTTTTTTTTACAGAACTATGAACAATAACCAACAGGTTTTCACCTGAAATCTAGCTTTTTAAATATACAAATATATGGGCTGAAGGCATGTCTCAAGTGGTAGATTGACTGCTTAGCAAGTGCAAGCTCACACTTGTCTGTAATCCTAGCTATTGAGGAAGCTGAGATCTGAGGATCTTGGTTCAAGGCACACACTGGTACTGAGGCTTGAACTCGGCCTGGGCGCTGTCCTTGAGGGTTTTTGCTCAAGGATAGCTGTCTTCCCACTTGAGCTCCATTTCTGGCTTTTTGATAGAGATAAAAGTCTCATGACTCACTGTCCAGGCTGGCTTCGAACTATGATCCTCAGATCTAGGCCTTCTGAGTAGCTGGGATCACAGACTTGAGCCACCAGTTCCTGGCTTGCATTTATTTATTTTATTATTTTATTTGATTTAATCATGAGAGGAATGTCCCTATAGGGAAAGCAAACCATAAGATGAAGAAAGGTTAAAGGAACTAAAATTATTCATAATCCCACTATTTAGATAGTTACATCTTGATATTTAAGAGTGTTTTGGTGATTAAAAGTTTTTAATATATTGGTCTGAGAAGGTGGCTCAGTGGTAGAGCGCTGCCTTGCATGCATGAGGCCCTGGGTTCGATTCCTCAGCACCACATAAGCAAAAAGAAAAAAAGCCAAAATTGGTGCTGTGGCTCAAGTGGTAGAGCGCTATCCTTGAGCTGAAGAGCTGAGGGACAGCAACCAGGCCCAGAGTTCAGGCCCCACAACTGGACCAAAAAAAACAAACAAAAAAAAAAGTTTTTAATATATTTTTACCAACATAAGGATTGCTAGATCTAAATAGTTCATAAGCTTATTTTTTAAGGTAATATACTTTATCTTTCTATATATAAACATTAAGTAGGTACTATTCTTATGGCTCATTGTTATTCAGATGTACCATTATTTATCTCTTTATTTTTGTGGTGCTGTACTGGACATTAAACCCCAGATCTTGTGTACCCTAGCCAGACCCTTCCCATATGGATCACAGGCAGTTTCTAGTTTTTTACTCACAGATGCTATTAGAGTAAACATTCTGAATGTTTTAATTTCCTTACTCTGGTGGTATAATTGCTGTGCTAGTTAATAAACAGTTTTTCAAGAGCGTTATTTATTTATTGGCAGTAGTAGGATTTGAACTTGGCCTGGGACTTAGAGAGGTACTCTACCACTTGAGCCACATTCCTAGCCTCTTTTTAGTAGCACCTTATTTGAAGTAGGGTCTTAGTTTCTACCTTGCATCCACTTTATTCACCACACCTACCTTCTTCTCTTGAAATAAAGTCTGGTCAAACTTTCTGGTCAGGTTGGTCTGGAATCCTGTCCTCCCATTCTTGTCTATTACTCCACACAACCAGGATTTACAGACATTGATTAGTGCTGGCCCAAGAACTTTATTTAAAGGTATATAGAAAAACGAACTGATTGCTCACATCTTGTAATCCTAGCTACTCAAGAGGTTGAGGATCCTGGTTTGAAGCTAACCAGTGCAGAAAAGTGTGAAACTCTTATCTCCAGTTAGCTAGCAAAATGCCAGGCAGGGACATGTGGCTCCTCTGGTAGAATGTCTGCCTTAAGTGGAAAAGCTAACTTTTAAGCTTCTAATGATAAGATAGCTAGCCTTGAGCAGAAGAGCTCAGGGACAGCATTGCCCAGGTCCTGAGTTCAAGCCCCCTGACCACCACCACCACCAACAACAACAAAAAGAATTCTTTTAACGGTTAAAATGACAGTTAACATGTAATCAACTTGAGTGTTGTCTTTGCAGTGTACGCTGATGGTAGCATATGTTTAGATATCCTTCAGAATCGATGGAGTCCAACATATGATGTATCTTCTATCTTAACATCAATTCAGGTAAGCACATGTTAGGATACATCATACTTTGTCAGTGGTCAATGGGATCTAGTGAGCTCCTTCAGAAACACTCCAAAGACAGGTAAGCAGTATAACACAGCACCCAGGTAACTAATGCACAACAGACAGGAACTCAGCTGCCAGCTGGCTGGTCTGCTCTTTTGTTAGTTGACCACATGAGATCCATTCTATAATTCCTTTCTTGATCGTGTATAACACACATGTTCTTACAAGTCAAACTAACTCGTGCCTATGCCAGAGCAAGTTGTAGAAAAGAAAACCTTTGGGGAAATAGAAATGATTGCTTGAAAAACCATAGAGACCTCAAGAAAATGCCAATTTCAGAGAAGCATTCATATGTTGATCCATCCAAGAAATTAGTGTGTCCGTATGCATGCGTGCATACATGTGTGTGTGTGCACGTGCGAGCATGCACATGCACGCGCCAGTCCTGGATCTTGAACTCCTCAAGGCCAGGGTGCTATCCGTTAGGTTTTTTGCCCAAGGCTAGCATTCTGCTACTTGAGCCACATTGATATGGTTTAGAACTGGGGGATGTGGCTCTGTAGAAGTGCTTGCCAGGTGTTTCTAAGGCCCTGGTTCAGTCCCAAGCACCACAAATAATAATGATGAGGGCTGGGAAGGTGGCTCAGTGGTAGAGTGCTTGCCTTGCATGCATGAGGCCCTGGGTTCAATTCCTCAGCACCACATAAGCAGAAAAGGCTGGAAGTGGTGCTGTGGCTCAAGTGGTAGAGTGCTAGTCTTGACCTGAAGAGCTGAGGGACAGTGCCCAGGCCCAGACTTCAGGACCCACCACTGGCAAAAAAAAAAAAAAAAAAAGATAGATTTTAACTTTGGAAAATACTGGCTGGCTACTAAGCTGTTTACACATCTTATTACATCTTAACCAAATTAAGATCTTAGTAAGAAAGTCTTGAGTACACTGAAAAGTACTGTTTTGATTTTTCTTGAAATGAAATGTCTTAAGGCAATTGAGAGTTGTTTTGGGAACTTAACACTGCTTAGAAGTAGGAAACCTTTTTAAAGCCATTTCTGAAAGTATTTAAACCTAAAAATAGATGTCATTCTAACTTGTAAAATTGTTTGCTATTTTGTATAATTTTTCTATATTCCTTATCTGTGCTGTTAGTATAAAAAGAATAACTCTGCAAATCTTTTTTTTTTTTTTCTTCTGTCTTTCCTCCCCCCCAGTCTTTGTTGGATGAACCGAATCCAAACAGTCCAGCCAATAGCCAGGCAGCACAGCTTTATCAGGAAAACAAACGAGAATATGAGAAAAGAGTTTCGGCCATTGTTGAGCAGAGCTGGAATGATTCATAATAGACAACTGGTCTGTTCATCTTTTTCATCATTGTTGTGTATAATTTACCTCCCAGTAGAAAGGCTAACAAATTTTAAGTGCCACAGGTTTTAAGGATTCTGCAAAAAAAGAAAAAAGAAAAAAAGTCCTTCAGTTTAGAACCTACAAAAAGCTTGTGTATCTTGATTAATGTACTTTTTATTGCATGGTGTGAACTAAGTTATTGCTGCATAAATTTGTAATATATCCTGTTTGTATTTTTTTCCAAGTGTATAATGTTGGTGTGGAGTTTTCATGACAGAATATACACATTTTGTAAATCTGTACTTTTTTCAAATATTGAATGCCTTATTTTTGAATTCTTTAGATTTTTAAATTGGAGAAAAGCACTTAAAGTTTTTTATATATGAATATTACATGTAAACCTGTTAAAATACATAACTTCAGTGCAAGAGACTTTGTCACTTATTTCCTGATGTGGGTAGGAGGGGCTAACAAGTCTCTTGGCCCTCTATCAGGTGAGAGCTTCATTTTGATTTCAAAAGAGCATTTCTGTTTTATCAAGAGAGTCTTCAAATTTGATTCAAAATACCAATTCTAATCTCCATTTTTATTTTGACTATACCTTTAAAATATTAGTTTGGGTTGAGTAATTATAGATATAACTGGTTTGATTTTGTCCAGTTCTGTGTTTAGGCCACTTGTTATTATGGTTTATTCGTCCATTACTCACTGTTCAGCTGTACCTTGCCATCTCACAGCTGGTACCCTACCAGAGCAGAGAGAATGGACGCAACTTAATCCTGCTGGTTGGTAGTGCTTTCAATGTAACGAGGAAAAGTAAAACCCATCCACACTTAGTAAAATTCATGCCCCACTAGTAGCAATGAATTAGTTGCCTTGATTTCAGCAAGGCAAATAGTTGGAAGGAATTGGTGTGATTTCATTATTTCTAAACTACCTTTTCATGCAATTGCTTATCTGTTTATTCTGGGAAAATGTTTTAACACCGAGGCCTGATGAGTTGCTTTCTCTTGTGGAGATTTTTTTTTTTTTAATCTCCTAAGTTGTATAAAAGTTGTGCTGCTTCTTAGTTTACTGGATGAATTTAAAACACAGTATTGTAGAAAGCTAATACAAAGTTATCCTATGCCTTCAAATAGTATAGAAAATGGAAAATATACAAGTAAATTCTGTTGAACCACTTGTGTAGTCTCTCTAGTAGTTAAAACTTTTCAGTAACCTGGAGTTTCTTGTCATACCCATGCCAGCCTCCTAGAAATACGGTAAGAAGATTGGGTTAAAGGGTGCCTTTATCTACAATTCCTATTCACTAAGCCAACTTTAACACTAGATTGGATAAGAATTGGTGTTTCCCTTTAAAATTGGTTAAACTGGGTATGGTGTCACACACCTTTTTTAACCCCAGCACTTGGGAGGCTGAAGCGAAAGGATGGCAAGTTCAAGGCTAGCCTTAGACTGCATAACAAGGCCTGTTTCTCCCCAAGAATTTATTGCTTGACAAATGTATGGGTAAATATTTCATCTTAGGGAACTTGGTACAAATGGGAATACATCTCTTGAAATCATGGCTAAAGACAAGAGATGCCTTATTTAAAGGTACTTGATTGTCATATTTTGATACTTTACTAGTTTAGCTTTAAAATTACAGCCACTTTACTTCAGTGACACCTATATTAAGCAGTGGCTATGAGGGTCTCTCGTTAAGTTGTATTAAATGCTATTTAGTACTGCTTCAGCACCCACTTTTATCCTTTAATCTGTTTTTCCTTGCCCAGGTTAAAACTAGCACATTTTAAGTGTTGATAGATTATTATAGGAAGCTATGTTGACCTTAGTTCAACAGTTACATGAATCTCATACCCGGTCTGCATAGCTTTTGAAGAAAATTCTTAGCAAAGTCCACTGATTGGTAACACCTATTTTTTATTCTTTGGCCTTGGAACAGCTTTCTATTTCTTTTATTGGGTATCAAATGTGAACCTTCAGTCGATAATAGGACATGTGAAAATCTTGTTTTTAAACTCTAGGTAAGTTTTCTACAACTATGGAAAGAAGCTAGAAGTAAGATACTTAGGTATAACATTTGCATTGTTGGAATTGTGGTAAAAGTTTAAATGCCTTTGTTTTGTGCTTCCTTGGTAACAATACTTCTAGTATAGAACAGTTTGTACGAGGCACAAATCTAAGCCCTTTAGCATTATTTCATTTTAAACTCAGAGTAACTTTCTTTTTTTTTTTTTTGTCTAGTTGTGGGGCCTGAACTCTGGGCCTGGGCGCTGTCCCTCAGCTCTTTAGCTCAAGACTAGCGCTCTACCACTTGAGCCACAGCGTCACTTCTGGCTTTTTTCTTTTTGCTTATGTGGTGCTGAGGAATCGAACCCAGGGCCTCATGCATGCAAGGCAAGCGCTCTACCACTGAGCCACCTTCCCAGCCCTCAGAGTAACTCTTAAGGTAGATATTACAGTGTTATCGAAGAGGAGACAAATGAAATACTGGCTCCAGTCAGTGATGGAGTTAAGATTTAAAACCTAGTCTGACTTTTTAACTACTAACTAACAATACTACCCACTCAGAGATATTAAAGGGATTGAGACATTCTAGTTTGTAATATTTTAGAATTATACACAGGGTTTTATCCAATGAAAAGGTCTTTGACCGTCTTTTCCCACCTTTTCCCCCCCCCCCTATTGTAAAGTCTAGATATAGGAACCCTTTTCTGGTCTCTTGTGTAAAGGACTCTGTGACTTATTAATAAACCACATTCTCCCGTTCCTGCAACTATTCTTGAGACTGTAGGACGTTCCTTAAGTGCCTTCTCTACCCTGAACAACAGAAGTGTTACATTAATATCAGTACCTCAGACCTGAGCTCTTTTTTTTCTTCCTTTTTTATTCTCCCCGATCCTAGGGCTTGAACTCAGGGCACTGACCCTGAGCCTCTTTTGCTCAAGGCTAGCACTCAACCACTTAAATCACAGCACCACTTCTACCTTTTTCTGGATAGTTTACTGGAGATGAGTCTCAGACTTTCCTGCCAGGACTGGCTTTAACGCGTTATTCTCAGATCTCAGCCTTCTGAGTAGCTAGGATTTCAGGCATGAGCCACCAGTGGCTGGCTCTGATCTAAACTCTTACATAGCTGAAAGATAGTCAGAAAGCATGCAAGCTATGTATTGGTACTGTATTTAACTAGTAAGTCTGTTTCATGGTCAGTAAACAAAAGTACCTGTGTATTATTTTGGTTTTGATGCTGCAGTGATGGGACCTGGGACTTGGTGCCTGCTAGGAAAGTACTCTACCAATGAGCTATATCCCCAGCCCTAAGGTTTTTAAACAGACCACAATTTCCCCAAATTTGGGGGTTTAAATAGCTGTTTACTACCATTCCTTTTGTATTTGGCAATACAAAGCACCAATGGGATATCGCAGTTACATGAGGATTATGCGTGTAAAACAGAGAAGCCAGTCGTTAGCAGGCTATGGAAGGTAAATGAAATTGTCCATAGAAGAGGAGGATCCCCCATGGAGGTGGAAACTCCCTCTGTTTGCATCCTATCTAGTTAGGGAGAAAGTAAGCTGATCTCTGATAGGGCAGTCTTCTATTATTTTAGACTATAGCAGGCTAAATACAATAGGAAAAAAAAAATCTTGATATTGAAAGGATTGACTTTTTCTCTGTCCTTTGGACAAAGAAGATGAAATGAGTTTTACAAACTTTGTTGGTTTGTTCTACCATGATTGAACCACTCGAGGTTCAACATTAGCTCCTTTATGATTGAAATCCACAGCCCTGGAAGTGGTTGAGCTCCAGGCCTGTTCGGCATATGGAAGGCTCAGAATTAGTTGAACATAGAATTCTGTCATTTCCTAAGAGCTCTAAAGGTTGCCTGTGTGGTGCTTTTCTTTGTCAGCAATTTCTGGGTTAATAAGCTGGTGAAAACTCTTGGTTCAACCTCTAGCTCTACACATACCAAACAAGATGCTCCTGTAGCCTTAGGAGAAGTTGGCTGTTAGTGAAGGCTTATCTGAAAGACTGATCCATAATGTGTTGCTGGATGGGGCACCTGCAGAAAAAGAAGTTTTTCCTGGAATGCAGGAGGGCTTCTCTCCTGCTTTGAAAGCTGCCAGGCTGAAAATTTAAAGACTATTTACTGCAGACCTCTTAAGGTAGAGGAACAAAGCGTTGGTTACAATTGCTTCCTCTCTGAAGCCCAAAGTTGTCTGCTTCCCTTCCCCCTTTACATGACAAGATCTTTTGCTAAGGATACCACAGGCTGGACTGGCAGCACTCCCCAGGTAGCTTTGGCTGGGCTCCTTTATAAAGTCATAGAAGACAGTTGGGAATGTTAGGACAAAGAACAGTGAGAAGGTGCTCACCACCTCATTTGCCATCTTTCTGCTTTCCCTGATAACTATACAGTTCTGGGGTAAGTGGAAAGGCAATACGATGAACAAGGGCAGCACTGGGTTCTGATTAATGGGTGTGTCAAACAGTACTCTTCCCTGACTTGTTAGCATTACACGGTAGTTTGGTGGGGGAGGGAGGGAGGTGAGGGGTGGTGAAGTGATGGTAGTGATTTTTGCTTTTCTTGGTAAGACACTAGTGTAGCCCAGGTACTAGGATGACATGTGTACCATTGTGGCTAATGAGAGTCGTTTGTTGGTTCATTTTAATGGGCTGGATCTTCATTTGCTGGACAGAAGGCACAGTCAGCATCAGGGATCAAGTTAGAAGAGGAACAACATAAGTATCAAAGAAAAACTAGGCAATGCTTCCCAGACAGCCTTGGTTCACAGGGAGAGGTCTGGAGATCAGTAGAGAATCTTTAAGGCCCAAGTTCTAAGTCCTCCTGGGAAAGCCTTTATAAATAGCAGTCCTGTTTGTTTATTTCTTTGTTATAAAAGTAGTCATAAAAGGTAATTTGGTAATTACAAAAAAAAGCAAAAGGAGGGAGTATGAGTCATATATTATCTGAGATGTCGAAAACTGCTGGTTTAAGGAGAAGTGGCTGTGGTCAGTCAGTCATAGTCTAAACTGTACAACCAGATGAGCAATCTAGTGGGTGTAATAAAACAAAATGGGACCAGGCCTCTTGCCACGCAGCATCGGAGCAGACAAGGCCAGGAGCATATTTCACGCTAGCCTAAGACCCCAGATCCTAGGGGGTTCTAGAATACCTAGTGTTGGGGATGTGACAACATAGGCTTTGGCCAAGTTCTGCTTCCAGGTGACCATTTTCCCCTTGCCTCTGTCCCTTCTCCAGAATATCTGGTATTTGGTTGGTGTCTGCTTCACAGATGCCAAGTTGCATGTTGGGACCAGCTTCACACTCTTGCAGCCCTGGGGATAGAACTTGGTAGAGTGGAATGGTAGAGTGTGAACCCCCTGTGTTTCTTTGGTATAAATCTAACTGGGTTGAAAAGTTTTCCTATCTTCCCAGCCTGAAGAGGCCAGAAATGAAGCAGTGAGAGCCCACTAAGTGCCAGGTATATCTGCAGGCATTCACTTTTCCACTGACTCCTCCAGTAAAGCATGGAAACTTGGGAAGTGGCGCTGTGACTCTAGTGGCAGACTACTAGCCTTGAGTGGAAGGAGTTCAGGGACAACCCCCCAGGCCCAGAGTTCAAGCCCCAGGCCCAGCCAAAAAAAAAAAGATTGGAAACTTGCCCACTTTGTGATGCCTGTGTTAGGCTAACATTGTCAATAGGAAGCAAGCATCAGCCAGCTCATGCAGGGGACAGAAAGGGGCCAAAGGGAAAGAAAAAAAACCTGAAGGGGGAAGAGACAGGTAAAGCAAGGGAACACACACACTGTTGGCCCCTTTCTGCTGTAACTGTCCCTCCAATGAACCAGGGAAAGACCAAAACTGGTCTCAGCTTAACTGGTACTCCTCTAGGCAAATAAGGTTGAGAGGTCAAATTCAAGGATAGGCTTTGTTGACTTGCCTGCTAGTCTGGGAAAACTCAATGGGGCTATTTTTTAAGGAAAAACACAAAGAACCTGTCAAAGTTCTTTTCTGAACCACTCCCTCTTCTAACCCCACGCCTTATATCCACTTCATGCTTGGGTATGTAACAAAACCAAGCAAAGTAAAGACCCAGTCTGCCTGGTAAACAGGAGGTTGGCACACAGACACATCTGTTCTCAGACTTCACCAGATCATAAGTGAAAGGGAAACCTGCCAGCTTTTTGGTACCTGTGTAATAAGAACAATCTGGTACCCTGGACAACCCTGGCTTGGTACAAGGGATATTTCTTACCACATGGAATTTAGGCTCCCAAACTGTCTTTGACCCAAATCTTAGCACCAGTTTTTCTCATTTCATTTTTTTTGGGGGGGGTGGGTGGGAGGAGCATGTAGGTACAGGGTCTTGAACTCAGGGCCTGGGTACAGTCCTTGAACTATTGTGCTCAAAGTTGGTGCCCTGCCACTTGAGCTACAGCTTCACTTCTGGCTTTTTGGTGGTTGACTGGAGATAGTCCCACAGACTTTTCTGCACAGGCTAGCTTCGAACTGCGATCCTCGGATCTCAGCCTCCTGAGTAGCTAGGATTACAGGCGTGAGCCACCTAGTAACTAGCTCACTGTCTTTACTGAAACAAAAGAACCAGTGTCCAGAGGCAATGAAGTATGCCTTAAACTTACTGCCATCCTTAGTTTCTTCATGAATGTTGCTTAAAATACTAAAATTCCCATTCCTCTTTTTAAATAGATTCCGGCCCTCAGCCCTAATGGTCACTGGCAAAGACTTTTATTTCCCAATGGATGAGAGAGACTCCATCTTCTTGGTCATAGTTGGGAATGAGTTGCATGTGGTCATCCATACACGGTCACACAGGTCCAGCCGCCGCTTCACCCGAGGCTCCTTAGTCCTTGCATCCATCGAATCTTTGGCTTTGTTATAATCTTTGGATTTGTTATAATGCATGCTGCACTGGGCCAGGCGGTCCTTGAACTTTTCCAGCTCACTGGTCACCAAGGCCTGAGCTTGAGACAGAGGTGCATGACCGCTCAATGCACTGTTGTCTTCATAGCAGTGGGCCTGCACCAGAACACAAGGCCCTGCGTCTTCCAGATGCTCTCTCTCCACATGCTTCACCATGGAATCCACCAGCTCTGATACCAGGAACTGCTACAGCTCCACCATGGAGACCCCGTGCTGCATTGTTGCTTGGCTGTATTGTAAAGATGCATCCCTGTCAACGCTGGCAAGGAAAAAGCTCTGGCGCACATACCCAGATCTAGGTAAAAGGGAAAAAAACAAACAAAAAAAAACAGCTCAAATTTAATGATAGCTCAAGTCTCATTCTTGTTTTCTATTCTTTGATTTCCAAGGGACTCTGTGTTAGGTGATGATAGTCTTTTTTCATGCATGTTGTATCCTGGTTCTGAGGCTTGAACTTGGTCTGGGCTCTGTCCCTGAGCTTTTTCCGTTCAAGGCTGGTGCTCTACCACTTGAGCCACAGCTCTGCTTTCAGGTCTTTGGTGTTTAATTGGAGCTAAATGTCAGACTTCCACCAGGGCCAGCTTCAAACCATGATCCTCAGATCTCCGCCTTCTAAGTAGTTAGGATTACAGGCATGAGGTACCAGCGCCCAGCAGGTGAGTTTTTGGTTCAGCTCTTCAGTTGGTTCTCAGTGTGCGGATAACTGTGAGCAAGCCTTCAAGCCTGCCTATCACTGACAGACCTCACGCCAAGCACTCTGCCCTATGGTAGCTTTGGGTAAAAAAAAAAACCCAAACCACAGGGAGAAGAGTACCAATACTGCTACCATTTAGCCCAGGAGTGTCCAACTCATACAAAGGACAGAAAGAGGAAGAAACAATGTTCCCCGAACTTCAGTCACAGAACCACTAGAAGATTTAATATACACTCAATATTTGTTGAATGAGCCAATTTTCATGACTTAAAGTCTATTTCATAGGTTCTAAACCTCTTGTTCCTATAGGACAGGTGTCACTAAACTATACCAGAATTAGAGCCACAACCAGGTACTGGCAGCTCATGCCTGCAATCCAAGCTCCCAGGAGACTGAGACCTGAAGGATCAGCCCAGTCAGAAAAATCTGAGATTCCCATCTCCAACTACCCAGCAAAATGCAGGACTAGAGCATTGTTCAAGTGGTAGAATGCCAGCTGAGAGCCAGAAAGCAGGATGAAAGCAGGAGGCTGAGTTCAGGCCCCTATACTAGCTCCAAAAAACAATCTACATTGCACAACACAAGTTCTCATACACTAAATGTTGACCATCTTCTTCCAGACACTGGGGACCAGCAGAAAACAGAGACTTTTGGGGGGGTGGGGGTGGTGGTGCTTGGTTTGAACTCAGGACCTTATGCTTGTTAGCAGAGATACTTTAAAGATAAAGAGTAAGTGACACAAGTTACTTGACATGTGAGATTTTCAGTTTAGATGGGACAGAATACATCTTACTATAGACCACAAAGCAGAGGGAGATAGGCAGGGGTTTTTCCAGTGTCCACAAATATAAGCCACAAGTCCACATGGAATTCTTCTGATAAGGCAGAAGGTTGATGGTGTGGACCACACTCTAAGGAATTATTTTACAAAGAAATTTTCCGAAGGTAGTCACCAAAATAAAAAGAAGAATAGAAGTGGAAATGTGGCTCAGTAGTAAAGCACTTATCAAGTCCTGGGTTTGATTCCTAGCCCTGCAAATTAAGCTGAAAGATTGGGAATCATGCCACAATTTAAACTTCATACAATGGAAAGGATACTTTATTGGGGTTTTGATCATACAGGAAATCCATGAGACAAAGGTGAATTGGACATTGATGGGGTTTTTTTTTTCCATTTTGTAATGAAATTTTAAGCCTCATGAATTTGCAAACATAGTGGAAAAAAACTAGGCTGCATTTGAGGAAAAGATGTGGCTAACACTCAAAGAACTGCTTGGCCCTCAACATTTGCTGTCTTAACCCTTGCCATAGCTCTCTATGGTAGTCTAATAGGAAACAGGTCTGAGGTTACAGATCGGAGATCCTGACGTCACTGGATCCCTCCTATTGGTCACTAGGGAGAACAGAACTAGAGGCTGCACAGAGTAGCCCCTATGAGGCATGCTGCCTGGCCTTCATTTCCCTCCGTGAGTGAGTGCGAGCCCATCTCTGCCTCAGACACCATGTTCCCCACCAGCCCTGCTCCTCACTTCCAGTGGCTAGCTTACCTGTATTCACCAGTAGATTAAACTAAGGCATCAGTTACCAGTTTCCTGTACTAAGCTCTGTACATACAGTGAGGGGTCCTGTTGTAGTAGTTATACTACCTCCGGTAATGAAGCCCCTCTTGTTGCCTATACCTAAACGTATAGACTTAATGGTGAGACTAAACAAAAGGACACTAAGGCAGCACAGAACACATACATTAACAGAGGAATATTAAAATACCAAATTCTCAGTATTTCTTGAGAGAATACATGCAAGACATTTTCTCAAATCTGGAAGATCCAGAGACAAGGACAACATGGGGTTTACTGAGCTGCCTGGAAGACCAGCCGAATGAATTTCCCATCAATGAACTTCATTTACAGTCCTGGGAACAGAACCCAGGGCCCTGAGCATCCCTGGCAAGTGATCTGCCACTAAGCTTACATCCCCATTCCCCGATGAATTTTAAAATAAGGCAAATTCTTTTCTGTAGGCTGCATCTTCCGATGAGCTAGCTCATGGCCTCTCTGGCCTATGACTGACTCTATAATTTCTTACAAGAAGATAAGTATGTATAGCCATACAGTAGGGGCACGGTACAACGGATCTGGTTTGTCTCAGTAGGGAACAAAACGGTCCAAAAAACAATCACATAAGGTACATTGTTGAAAAATCCAAACTATTACATCAACTTCAAAAAAGGGGGCATTTTAAACGAAGTCTGCTTGTACAATGATGAAATAGACAATTTATAAATACATAAATATCCATGCATACTTTTGCAGCAATAGCTACGGGAGGAATGCAGACTTTTAAAGGCCCATGTAGACTGATTCCTTGTCATTCCAACTTCTACGTTGGCAATGGCAGGAATCTTGAGAGCTGCCATGCTGTCACCCAGCGTCCTCTTTCTGCCTGCCGCCGGTGAGGGGAAGGTGATAAATCTTCTGCCTTAGCTTTGATGCTGGGAGAAAAAAAAGGAAAGGTTATGTAGTCATGAAGCCCACGGAATCAAATTCATCTTTATAAATTAAAATGGAGCACTGATATAATATTTATGTACTATCCAGATGGTAAGTCTACTCAGATATTATTAATATTTTACTACACATAGAAAATTCAGCAGAGCCTTGACCACACCATCCATTTGGAAGCCAGAACCTCAATTTTCCTGCCTTGTCACTTCAGTCTCTTTAAGTGTTCACAACTCACTGTGGTAACGGAAATACTTCAAATGCAACTTTTCCTGTCCTGCTCCACAATGAAGGGTTCTAAAAGAAGCATCATGGAAACACTGTTCTAAATTAAACACAGAATCAGGTAGTCATTCACAATATTTCATGTTGAGTCAGGTATAGGTTATCTATTTCTGGAGTTCACACTATTAGAAAACTGTAAAAGCATGTCTTCAAACATCGATGAGCTAGAGCACATATATTCTTTCTGGGTACTCTAGCACCTCTGGTAAATTTAAACTTGGCTCTGGACAACTTTTGAGGAGGGTGTGAAGAAATCGCTTTGGCTCTCACCTTGTATTTGAATGGATTTCCTTAACATTGAGCAGTGTGAGTGAATCAATCCTGAGAGTCTTTTCAGTAATCAGAGATGTCAAGGTATGACCTATTTCCTAGAGAAGCCAAAAGCCCTTAACAAAAGCATAATAAAAAAAGCCCTTTCTCCTTTCAGTACTATGAACATCTAAACATCCAAACAAACCACCTTTAGTCCCAAAGGAAAAGGTCCCATAAGCCCCTTCTCAAGTTTCCAACAGGATAAACCCACACAACTGTAACATACAGCTTCTTCTGGTCTGTGCTGTTATAAGTAGACACAGCCAGCGTGGGCATGAGACATGACTGGCTCATGGAGTGGGACCCAGCTTTTCTGACTTCTAATGGAAGTACAGTAAAAATACAAGTAGCTCCACTGAACCTTGACCTTGGGATGCAAAACCACCCCTGATTTACTAAGTCTGAAAGTGTGAATTTTTTTTTTTTTAAGTTCTCACCAATACTACTACACGTGGCTGCTTTAATCAGAGCTTGTCAAAACTGAGCTTTCGTGCATAGCTTTCCTGAAAGGTGGGTGCATGTGACTTTCCTATTTTACCTCTTGTCCCTATGATTGCATGTTGCCATGTTTCATTTTGGGATTAAGAATGTTATCAGGAAGAAAAAAAAAATGAATGAGGCAACCTCCTTAAGCTGAGAATGACAGTTTCCCTGTCATTCTTGTCTCTTCAAGACATGACCTTGGAAATTATCCCCTTCTGGAGTCAGCTGCTGCCGTTTTCTATGGCTCATTAGTGGGGTAAGCTTGGCGGCACAGAAAACAACAGACTGCAAGCAGATGCCTCGGGATGGCGGTTAGGTAATCAAGATCGTTTGCTCAGTGCATCCCCCCCACCTTTTTGGAACAAAATCATACACTGTAACTGTTCAGCAAATCCACCTGTCAAAGGCCAATGCTCAGTTCTCAGACAAATAATAATAATAATAATAATGTTGGACTGATCTCGAAGATGTACTTGACCCAGAGCTGCAGAGTAGCCAGAAAATATTTTTGATATCTTATTTCAGAGAGCTCATGTCTCTTAACTCATCTTTACCGTCTGGTCTTAAGATGTCAACAATGCCAGGCAATTCATTTCTACTTGCTAGCTAGCTTGAAAGCCCCACTTAACTCTAATTTTAGAGCCAAGGATCAATTCTGAAAGCACAGCAACACACATTTTCAGGTGCATGGCTTGACATCAAGGTTTTTCATTGGTGGGCTGGCAATGTAGCCTGATGTTTGCTAGCTTCCTTCCATGACACGAAAAAGCTGAAGACAAAGGAAAACATGCTGTGAGGACGCCAAGGTTCTCTCTCCAATGGGTCCTTGGGATAGCACAATGGAAAAGAGAGCCTTCCTTCCATACCACAGATGCATCATGACGCACAGGTAGAGGACCTGCTCTCGGGGTGATAGAATGTTGGTGGTGGTGCTGGGGACTGAACTCAGGGCCTTATGAATGCTAGCAAGTGATCCACCACTGAGCCACAGTTTCTAAGAAGGGTCTTCACTGGCAAGACTCAATGCACTCACTTTTCACTGTCATAAATGGCTGAAAATTACTAAGAAAAGTTTTACATGAAGCAAATGACAACACATAATCCCGAAAAACAACTATAGGATTATGACCTCCATGCAGGCTTCTTCCAGGTACAGATGCAAACTGAAAGTGTCAAAGAAAGAATCTTAATGGTGGGCTCCGTACATTTTTTAAGGTGTGAGACCCCTGTGACATTCAACAGTGCACATAACTCTTCCTAACATACACACAAACATACTCAACCAACAACTATAATGGAGAACTAATAGAAAAACAGGCACGAGGATGGCCAGAAAACCTCTTAGAAACAAAAAGCAATGGGCTGGGAAGGTGGCTCAGTGGTAGAGCGCTTGCCTTGCATGCATGAGGCCCTGGGTTCGATTCCTCAGTACCACATAAGCAAAAAGAAAAAAGCTGGGGGCTGGGAAGGTGGCTCTGTGGTAGAGCGCTTGCCTTGCATGCCTGAGGCCCTGGGTTCCATTCCCCAGCACCACATAAGCAAAAAGAAAAAAAGCCGGAAGTGGCGCTGTGGCTCAAGTGGTAGAGCACTAGCCTTGAGCTGAAGAGCTGAGGGACAGTGCCCAGGCCCAGAGTTTAGGCCCCACGACTGGACCCAAAAAAAAAAAAAAAAACAAAACAAAAAGCAAGAAAAAGCTACCACAGCAATTAGAAAATGAAGGCTTCTCCCATTCCCTGCCTGCCCCAACCCCAAGAAATCTTGCAGCCAGAAATTCTACTTCCTTTCTGGCTGGGCCCTCAAAACTTTACCACTCTGGGACACCCAGAAAGGAATGCCCAGGGATTTCCTTAAAAGTACTATATGAAGGGAGAGGGAAAGAGGGAACAGCTTACACTAAGCAAAAGGAAAGAAATGTACATATCACCCAATTTGGAAGTAATAGTTGTATGGTCAAAGCTTATAGAATTCACAATCTTTAGAGTCCACGATAATGACAATTTGCCTTGTGAAGGTTAAAATCTGTTTGTGACTTTAGTATCACTATCCCACAATACTGTGAAATTTATATCATCACTTAATCTCAATAAAAAAATTATTTTTTTTAAAAAAAGTACTATATCAGGGCTGTAGTATTTTGGTTCAAATGACTGCCTGGTAATCATGAGGTTCTGAGTTCAAACTTCAAAAAAAAACGTAGTACATGAGAGGCTCCATAAAGCCATAACTCCGAATACATAGCTCACTGGCTAAAAACAGCTCCTGTTCGCAGTGGACTTTAAAACAACCAAACACCAACCTGAAGCTTCTGGCTCTAGGTTTGATTAAATACGAAACCTTTCTTTTCCTCCCTCTATCCTTCCTTCCCTTCCACAAACCATGTGAATCTTGGGACTGAAATACTTTGTGGGCAGCTAAGGATTTCTTTAGGTCTTGAAGTAACCAAAAGAGAGCCTCTTTATGTGCCCTGCCTCCCCACACAAGCTCAACTGAAGCGCAACAAGGAACTTCCTATCCTTCTGAGAGTAAAGCTAAAAAGGAACCAGAAGCTCTTTATTGCTTCGATCAATTTTCAAATTTCTGAGTACTTTCTTGCAATTAGTTATTAAGACTAAAACATCAGGCACCATTAAGGTCACAGTCAGCCAGAAAAGAGGCCTAAGCAAATGCCAAAGGAGACGAGAGAGCTATTAATCCTGCTGTCTGAGGAGACTAGGGGAAATATGAAAAATGCATGTCTGGGAAGGGAGGAGTAGAGTGGTTCATTCTGACAAGGCTGCGATGCCCAGCCTCACCCTCTAGGGTTCCTTCTGCTACAATATCCATGGTAAGTTCTCCATGGTCCAGATACAAGACTCCAGGCAAGAATTCGCTGTCCACAGCCCAAGATCAGACTAAACCCTGCTGGTTAGGGAACAACCATGATATCAGGACATTCCCCAGCCATGTCCTTATCAAGCCAGAGCCAAAATCAAGCCAAAAACTTAAAGTGGAATAACTCAGGGCTGGGGATTCAATCCTTAGCACCACAGGAAAAAGGAAAAAGAGTATTCCTAGACAAAATGAAGAGGTTTATTCTGGCAATGCTGCATAATTTATTATTCTCAGTTGTTATCCAATTATGGAAGGGTTTGCACCATTGTGGGGAAATACAAATAAAGGGATTTAGATCTGTGTTAGGACACAAGCATTCAGAAAGCAACATCATAACATGGTCATCAAAGCAGGCCATTAACTGAACACCACCAGCTTGTCACTTTCTACACTTGAAAACCCTGTTTACCTTTTTCATTAATTCACTTCTGGTTGTAAATTGTGGCAGATCTTCCACTTCAATCCCATCAGCCATCTCCATCACCTTGTCTAGAAGATCTTTATTGTAACTGCACAATAAAAAGTTGTCAAGTAAGAACCTGAGAAGAATTGGTCACCGGAGGTAAATAAGAAATTATCAGTTACTGGATTATACAGTCATTCAGAGGAATGTGTTGATTTTGTTTTTTTGGGTCCAGTCATGGGGCCTGAACTCTGGGCCTGGGCGCTGTCCCTCAGCTCTTCAGCTCAAGGCTAGCGCTCTACCACTTGAGCTACAGCGCCACTTCCGGCTTTTTTCTTTTTGCTTATGTGGTGCTGAGGAATCGAACCCAGGGCCTCATGCATGCAAGGCAAGCGCTCTACCACTGAGCCACCTTCCCAGCCCCTTGATTTTGTTTTTTAAAGGCGAGGTCTAGCTATATTGTCCAGGCTGAACCTGAATTCCTGGACTTGTGATTCTTCTTTGGCCTCTCCAGTAACTGGGACTACAGGCACATGCTATTGCATAGGGTTCTTCAAAGGGCTAATCTGATACTATAGAAGAAACCTATGTTTGTTCAGCACAAGGTTAGGAAACAGTTCTTCCTGCTTGTGAGTAGACAAATAGGCTTTAATAATGATGGCAGAACAGATGCTTTAAGATTTACAAAAGCAGAGGCACCATACATCTGGCAGTATATATTTATGAACATGGTACGAGAGCCAAAAATATCTTTTGACAACTTTAAAAACATGCAGAATGTTGGTTTGATGAAAACAACATCATGTGACCATTTGTTCACTTCTTTGCCCATCTGCCTACCCTTAGATCCTGTTAATAAAGATTTCCCAGGAGTATACAAAAGGCAGAAGAGATAGGTGTGTCTGAGATGTGTACACCTGGCTTGGCTTCCTCACATCCTGTTCTAATAAATGTCCCAATATGGGGAACAAAAACCAAATGGCTTTCTGGCAGGGGGTTGCTATGAATGTGGCTCAGTTGGTAGAGTGCTTGCCCAGCATGCATGAAGCCCTGGGTTTGATTCCTCAGTACCACATACACAGAAAAAGCTGGAAGTGGCGCTGTGGCTCAAGTAGTAGAGTGCTAGTAAAAAGCAGCTCAGGGACAGTGTCCAGTATCAAGTGGTAGAGCACTAATCTTGAATGAAAAAAGCTCCAGAACATAACCAAGCCTTCAAGTTCCAGTACCTCCACACAAGTACACTCAAAAAAGTATAAAGCAGCTCAAAGTCTGTGACCTGCTACATGATGGGATAAAGGAAATGTCAGTGACTTCAAAAGCGAGCCCTCTCTCAAATGGTAGAGCATTAATTCTGAGTGGAAAAAGGTAAAGAACAGTGCCAAGGACCTGAGTTCAAGCCCCAGTACTGGCACCAAAAAAAAAAAAAGGAGGGAGGGCTGGAAATGTGGCTCAGTGATAAGAGTCCATGCATGAAGCCCTGGGTTCAATTCCTCAGTCCTACATAAAACAGAGAAAGCAGGAAATGGCATTGTGGCTCAAGTGGTAAGAGTGCTAACCTTGAGCAAAAGAAGCCCAGGGACAGTGCCCAGGACGAGTTCAAGACCAAAACTGCCCTCCCCCCCAAAAAAAAGAAAAAGCAGGCCTGTGGGAGCAGTAGTCAGCATGAAATACACTTCAGGATCTTGACAACAGGGGACCTTGACAACAGGGTATGTTCTTCTCATAAAAGGGAAAGCTAGGTAAGCTTGGGAGAAAGGGGGCGAAATAAAAGTCAAGAGTCACAGATTACATTCTTCCAGAAGTTGCCTGGGTCTACCACCATTTCCTTTGCCTCAACAACGGCGTCAGATGGGGAGAGGAATGCCCTTCGGTTTCTGCCTTGTTGCCATGGTGGGGGTGAAAGGAGGTAACGGACGGATTGCCAATGCACCCGGCAAAGATGACAGTGTGGCCAAGAACAGCACAAGAGTGCAAAGAAACCCCAACGGGACAGAGGGCTTAGCTCTTGGAACCCTCCGCAGTTAAAACTATGGCAGTCGATCACACTCACCCCCCCTTTTTTTTTTTTTTCCAAATGGGGACACTGAGGCTGAGAAGGTAATAAGCATCTTTGCTGGGGTAGGGGTGGGGGGTGGGCCTCAAGAAGGGATCGACCAGAGGCCCGGCCAATGGGATCGCAGATCGGAGGCGGGGTCACTGGGGTGGGGGGGCAGGGTTCCCGCCAGGGGCGAGCCCGGGGAGAGGGGCCCAGGGGCGGGGGGCGGGGGGGTCCGCACCTGCAGCCCAGGAAGAGGTGGTTGGCCCAGACCATGGACAGGGACAGCAACTGGTCCAGGCGGCCGCCGCCGTCGGGCGGGTCGCGGTAGTCGGGCAGATGGCGCAGGATGAATTCCATGCGGGCCTTCCATTGCTTCTCGCTCTCTGAGTAGGAGCGGAACTGCTCGGCGAAGTCGGCCGCCTGCCGCACCCCAGAAACCAGCTCCTCCACGGCAGCGGCCGCCTCGCCGCCAACCATGACGCCCGCCGCTGCCCGCCCGAGGCCCGACCCGCCCGCCGCCTTCCCGACAAGCACTGCGCCACGGCCCGGCGGCTAGAACGTCTTCCTTCACCTCCCAGCGGCGCGCGACTGCTCGGGAAGACCCGCCTGGAGCGCCCTCTACCTGCCTGGAGGATCTGTGAGGCCCCGCCCCTCAAGCCTGCGCAGCCCGCCGCCAGCCCCTGGCGTGAGTCTGTTCAAGGCTACCTGTGAGGGCGCTTCTGGGGCCGTCGACCTTGCTGTGAACAGCTGGGGAAACTGAGGCCTGTAAGCTCTATTAGGACACCCCTCCCTCCCATCAACACACACACTCATTCGCCTGCTCGATTCTAGGTGGTAGATCCATTATGCCGGGTGCTTTTCACCCTGGGGATTCCCCAGGCACCACCTTATCTGGATTCGACATCATGGGCTGGGCTGCAGTCCCCAAGATCTGGGGACTTGTATGTCCCTACACACGTTCAGGTTGGAGCCTGCCTATGATGCATCCAACCATTGGGTACCTGCCAGGCATTTTTAACTGTTGCAGATGCATGAATATAAACTCAAAACCCCGTCCTAATGAACTTTACCATCTTGGAAGGGAGGTACACATCAATGAAATGATTGCTCCAGTAAATGGAAAAGTTCAATGTTGACAAGTAATAAGGAGAAGCCCAGAGTGCTACAAGCATGTATAAGCGAAGGCCGTACTCCAGTCTTGAGGTCATAGAATAGATTGCTGAAAAGCTGAAGAATGAACAGGAGTTAAGTTAGTAAAGAGTTAGGCCATGACCACAGAGCTGCACCTCAAAAGATAATTGAAGAGAATGCCTACATTACTAGACAGGATGAGAGAAGGTGGAACAAAAGAATGGAGTAGGTTGGGTACTGATGGCTTACAGCTGTAATCCTAGCTATTCAGGAGGCTGAGATCTGAGGATCAGAGTTCAAAGCCAACCCAAGTGGTAAAGTTCCAGAGACTCTCTATCCAATTGACAATCAAAAAGCTGAAAGTGGAATGCTGGCACAAGTGGTAGAGTGTAGCCTTGAGCAAAAAAAGCTCAGGGACAGCACCCAGGCCCTGAGTTCGAGCCCCAAGAGCAGCATATATACACACAACTGCATCTATACTGAACAGGCACAGACTTTTTTCTTATAATCCCAGAAGCAATACAGTATATCACCAGCATTTACATTGTATTAGGGATTATAAATAATCAAGATATGGTTTAAAATGTGTGGATGTGCATAGATTTAGGTGTATAAATGCATATGTTATGCTATTTTTTTTTAAATGCTGTTACTAGGGCTTGAACCCAGGAACTGTCTATTAACATACTTGCTCAAGGCTGGAGCTCTGCCACTTAAGCCACACCTCCACTTCTGGCTCTTTGGCATTTAACTGGAGATAAGACTTTCCTACTCTGGATGGCTTTGAACCTTGATCCTCAGATCTCAGCCTCTTGATTAGCTAGAATTACGAGCATAGAGCCACTGGCACCCCTCCAGGTATTTTTAATGCACCTTTATTTTCAGCATTTTAAAAATAGGATCTTTTTTCCCACCAAGGCTTCCCTCCCCTCTCCACCCCCCCCCCCTCCACCCCCACCTCACACCCTCTCCCTTTGACATATCCAAGACCACTATGCATATAAATCCCTTGCTGAGCTTTTCTGGGGTCCATGATTCATACTCCCACTACCCACTAGGAGGCCTCCAGGAGTTATTTCCAGGAGTCTCACCAGTTGGTCTCATGGATTTACCTGCTCAGGGCTAACTTCGAGCCACAACCTTCTTAGCTTCCAGAGTAGTTAGGATTACAGGCATGAGCCACTGGCACCAGCTTTTTACAGATGCAGTTCTTTTATCTGCATATTTCCACCTGCAGTTGATGTACACATAAAAGAATTGGAACTTGCAGATGTGGAAGGTGAAATGACATCTCTCCAGGTTTCTCCTGTGGCTGATGCTCCAACATCACAGGACAAATAATCTGCAAAACTTTCTTGAGTGTATTTACAATAATTGCCTGAAATGAATATCACAAAAGCAATGGAACTTCTATTCCACCATAGCCTTCCCACAGCAGGCAGGAAGTAATGCTGCTCCTAGCAGCACAGAGAGTAAGGCTGAAAAGTCAGGTTACTTTTTAATTTTTATTTTTATTGGTGTCAGTCCTGGGGCTTGAACTTGGGGTTGACACACACACTGTCTCTTACCTGTTTCGCTTGAGACTGGTACTGTACCACTTGAGCCACAACTCTACTTTGGTTTTTTTTGTTGGTTACTTAGAGGTTTGTCTGGGTTTGTCTGCCTGGGCTGCCTTTGAACCTAGATTCTGATGTCTCGGCTAAGATTAAAGGCATGAGGTACTGGCACCCTGCTGAAAATCAGGTTACTTCTGTCTTGGCACAAGTTTGTCTGTTAAGGCATTATTTCTCTTTCATATAGGGTGGTATTTTCTGGATGGATGGATCAGCTTGTTGGGAAATGTGTGCTTAACTGTTTTGTGATAAATTAGACAAGTCTTTTCTCTGCCAGAAACCTTAAAATTGGTGTTCTTAGAATAGCAGTGTAGTGGCTACTCTTGCTTTCTTGAATAGGTGTTCAGCAAGGAGATCACAAAGTTAAGCTCTTTAAGGTTCTGCATGCCTGGGGCCATACTAGGAGAACTTCAAACCGAGTGCCTTATTTTAAGCTCAGCATTGATGAACTCAAATGCTCAGAGGAAGGAGATGGAGGCGGAGAAGTGGAGAATAGCCGGGTAGAAGATGCAGTTGGAGAGGCTTTGAAGAGCTATTTTGTAGATGATAGCTCATTCTTCCTGGTTTTTCAAGGCAAGCTTAGGGTCAAATCCTGAGAGCTCTATAATGTGAGATCTCATCTCTCTTCTTTCCTCCCTCCCTCTCTCCCTTCCTATCTCCTTTCTACCCTCCCTCTAACCCTCCCTCCCTCCCTCCCTCCTTCCCTTCCTTCCTTCCTTCCTTCCTTCCTTCCTTCCTTCCTTCCTTCCTTCCTTCCTTCCTTCCTTCTTTCCTTTTCTTTTTTTCTCTCTTTCTTTTTTCTTTCCTTCCTTTTTCCTTCCTTCCTTCTTTGGCAGTATTGAGGTTTAAACTCAGGGCCTCATTCTTGCTAGGCAGATGATATAACACTGGAACCATACACCCCCCCAGCTCATTTTTTTTACTTTAGTTATTTTTCAGAAAGGGTCTTGTGTTTGTATCTGGGTTGGCTCAAACTCATCCTCCTCCTGAGTAACTCCAATTACAGATATGCACCACTATACCCTCCTTGTTTGTTGAGATGGGATCTTACTGACTCTTTGTCGGGGCTGAGCTGAACTGTGAACTTCCTGATTATAGGAATGCACTACCCTGCCAAATCTCATTTGTGGGGGGAGGCAGGGGGATAAAATCCAGGGCCTGTGTATCCCAACCAAGCACTCTACCACTCATCTACGCAACAATCAAAACTGAAAAAATATGAAATACCTTCTTGTACTGACTTCTCTGTCATTGGGAAAATTCAAATAAATGGTCATTCACAGTTCTACAATAAATATGTGATTGAACTAGATACAGGTATTTCAGTTAAAAAAAAACATATATGACCACAGCCAGGTGCAGTTCTCATATCTATTTTTTTTTTTTGGTCCTGGGACCTGAACTCTGGGCCTGGGCGCTGTCCCTCAGCTCTTCAGCTCAAGGCCAGCACCCTACCACTTGAGCCGCAGCACCACTTCCAGCTTTTTCTGCTTATGTGGTGCTAAGGAATCCAACCCAGGGCCTCATGCATGCAAGGTAAGCACTTTACCACTGAGCCACCTTCCCACCCCCAGGTTCTCATGTCTAATTGCACTACCCAGAAGGCTAAGATCTAGGGATCATGGCTCAAAGCCTGTCTGTGCAGAAAAGTTCACAAGTGTCCTGAGATCTCAACCAGCAAAACAGCTGGCCTGGGGACATGGCTTAAGAAGTATTTTATTAGCAAACCTGTCACATCTCTCAATCAAGATTTAAGTCACTTAAAGAAAATAAATAGAAAGAGACATAAAGTTCAACAGGACAGAAACAAATGAAAGATATGATTAATTATTGACACTTTTTATCTTTTTCTCAATTTAAAATACTTTTTTTTTTTTGCTAGTTCTGGGGCTTGAACTCAGGGCCTGGACACACTGTTCCTGAGCTTCTTTTGTTTTGGCTAGCACTCTATCACTTGAGCCACAGCGCCACTTCTGGTTTTTCTGTAGTACTGAGGAATGAACCCAGGGCTTCATGAGTGCTAGGCAAGTACTCTAACACTAAGCCGCATTCCCAACCCAATATTTTCTCTGTGTGTGTGTGTGTGTGTGTGTGTGTGTGTGTGTGTGTGTGTGTGTGTGTGTGTGTGTGTGTGTGTGTGTGTGTGTGTGTGTGTGTGTGTGTGTGTGTGTGTGTGTGTACCCCAGTACTGGGCTTACATGCAGAGCCTGGACACTATTCATGAGGTTTGTTTTGTTTTGTTTTGTTTTTTGGTTCAAGGATGGTCTTTTATTACCTGAGTCTCCACTTCTGGCATTTTGCTGGCTAACTGGAGATAAGAGTCTCGGACTTTCCTGCTGGGCTAACTTTGAACCCTGATTCTCAGATCTCAGCCTCCTGAGTAGCTAGGATTTACAGGCATAAGCCACTAACACCTGGCTTTATTTTTGTTTCACAGTATATTTTATATTTGTAAAAATAATGAATACTCACATAAAAATTAACAAGTTGAATTAAATTTTAAATCTAACAGCTCCCTATCCAGCCCAGTGCCACCACATCCCATTCCCCAATGATACCCACTTCCACACTTTCACTTTCTCCAAGTTTTAATTCCCTCCCCATTCCTAAAAAAATGCTTACATTGCTATTTTGTTGATTTGCCCATTTTAAGAGACATTAATGTTTTCTTATAATTATAGACATGAGAGCCAGGCACTGGTGACTAATGCCTGTCATCTTAGCTACTCAGGAGGCTGAGATCTGAGGATCACAGTTCAAGGCCAGCCTGGGCAGGAAAGTCTGTGAGACTCTTATCTCTAACTA